CCCAAGTCTAATTCTTGTTGAACAGGGTGGATAAACATGGCCTCACAGTTCTTTCAGGGCTTTAGTACATTCACTCAGTAGATCTACTAACCAAATCTCACAAGCTAACTCCCCTACTCAGCGCACTGTCTTACAGGGCCTCTGCCCTTTAGCTAGTAGTTTGCTCTCAGAGCTAGGTAGTAATAACATCATTCTCTGTTGATACACCATCAGCGCCACATTTCTATTATAATATAGCTCCTGTGAGTTTTGCAAAGCCTGAAAATTCTGCCGGACAAAGGCGGCCCTATCAAGTCCATCCATTCCTGCAGATTTGGGACATACTGCACAACATTCTCAGCTTTGGTCCCAACAAGCTTCCTACACAAGGTCCAGAATTCCACAGGGCTCCCTTCCATGCACCATCTTAAAAGGAGAGAACCCCATGGAAGACTGAGGCACTTCCCTGATGGCAAACAGTAGATACAGCCGGAGTTTGTTCTAGTTGTGGGATTTGGCTCTTATGAACTTGAGCAGCATTTCTTGGAGGATCCGATTAAAACATTCCACCAACTCATGTTTGGGGGTGGTAGGCCGATGTTCTTATGGACTTTATTTCAAGTAGAAAGCAAACTTCTCATGATAACCTTGACATGAAGGTGCTGTCTTGATTGGTTAATATCACCCTGGGAATACCTACCCAAGAGATGATTTTAGCAACTCATTGGTGACTAATTAGGCTGACATTGATTGCAAAAGAATGGCTTTGGGGTACCGGATGGTGTAATCTACAATGACTAAAATATAGCAGCACCCACTAATCCTCAGGTCAGGGGGGTTCAGCTAAATCTACCCCAATGCACTCAAATGGAGCATCTACCAAGGGGAAAGAGGAACCAAGGGGGTCCTTTGCGTAGATTTGGAACTCATTAGCTGGCATTTGGAACAGGAGTTGCAATAGTTCTTGATCTTTTGGTATTCCCCAGGCCAGAAGAAATAAGAAATAAGCCCATATCCATTCCTGGTTTTTTTCCATCCCCTAAGTGGCCAGACCATGGTATTTCATGGCCCAGCCTGTGTACTTTGTTCCTAAAGGCCCTGGAGACCAAATGTATCCCCATTTGGGGCTGTTTGGCCACCTGAATCAGGAAATATCCCTCTATCTCGAAGTGAGAATATTTTGCATCCCGTATCGCATCCACAGGGCTCTGTTCCCCCGTGGCTAATGGTCCGTACAGCTGGTTAACACCCTATGATTTTTCTGCTCTTACACAAAGTCACTGGAACAGGCAAGAGACTGATCATCCAGCAGTGGGAGGTGCTGGAAGAAGCAACACTTGTGTGGACTTCTTAGGGGTGTTCAAACTGCACTGGGTGATTGTGTCCTTGCACGATTATTTCACTGGTTCTAGCTTGGGGGACTGTAGGGCCCCTAGGACCTTGGATTTCTGCAGTTGTTGATGCCAGGGAATTTGACCCTGCAGAGGTATTTCCAGGCAGGTCAGAGTCGTATTAGTTGGCAGCAGATTTTTTTTGGCCCATCTCCCTGGGCCCTAACATGTCACTAGAGCTTGTTCCAGGCAAGGTGACGCTCTTCACTTGTTTTCTGGGTCAGATTCGTAGGGCCTCAGAGCTCAGGGTCAGCAAAGGGAAGATCTTTCCCAGCAGTACATCCACTCTGTCCCTCTTCCCCAGGCAAGTTAGCATCTGGGCATGACTGGTTTGCCTCTTGTAGCAGGCCAGTTACCAGGCCCCAGTAGCAGCCCAGCACCACTGGGTATGACCGTTCTTTTGCCATGGTCACCACCAACTCTGTAGACCTCCTATTTACAGACAGCTTAAGCCCAGTAATGGGAGAGGTTGGAAAATCTCTATGGGTACACCCTATAAAAAACATTCCCTCAATCAGTGGGAAATTCGGGCCCAGTAGCTGCTCACGTATGAATGTCTGGAGTCAGCCAGTCCCTGGAAACTCCACCCCTTTGACTATATCGGGGACAACAAGAGCACTGGGATTCCCAAGGAGTGCTGAGGGCTTGGGGAAGCAGGCTATGGCATAGTCACATCCACATTGATACAAGAGTGGTGGCTATGGCCTTCCTGCTCACAGGTGAAGCTCATCCGGCCCCTTCCTGCCCCTAGGGGTGGGCAAACTATGGCCTGAGGGCTGCACCCAGCCCTCCAGACATTTTAATCCGGCCCTCAAGATCCCACTGGGGAGCAGGGTCCAGGGCTTGTCCTGCTCCAGTGCTCCAGCCAGGGAGTGGGGTCTGGGGCTTGCCCCGCTCTGGTGCTTCAGCCGGGGAGCAGGATCAGGGGCTTACCCCACTCCGTGCAGCTCCTGGAAGAAGCAGCATATCCTCCCTCCAGCTCCTATGCATAGGGGCAGCCAGGGGGCTCCACACGCTGCCCCCACCCCTAGCGCTGCCCCCGCAGCTCCCATTGGCCAGGAACCATAGCCAATGGGAGCTGCAGGGGCAGCACCTGTGGAAGGGGCAGTGCGCATCACTGCCTGGCCACGCCTCCCCATAGGAGCAGGAGAGGGGACATGTCGCTGCTTCTGGGAGCTGTTTGAGGTAAGCCCTGCCCAGAACCTGCACTCCTGACGCCCCACGCCCCAACCCCCTGCCCCAGCCCTGATCCCCCTCCCTCCCTCTGAACCCCTCGGTTCCACCTCCTGCACCCCCAACCCCTCATCTCCAGCCCCACCCCGGAGTCCGCACCCCCAGCCAGAGCCCTCACCTCCTCCCGCACCCCAACCCCCAATTTCATGAGCATTCATGGCCCGCCATACAATTTCCATACCCAGATGTGGCCCTTGGGCTAAAAAGTTTGCCCACCCCTGTACTAGCCTCTGCTAGTAAGATTTCTGCATCTCCCATCAGCCTCCCTTACAATCTGTTCACAGCAAGACAAAACCAAAAATGTCACTGTTTTTGTGCCAGGGCAAGTCTGAGTCCAGGCTTAGTCAGGGATGTGTTTCTGCTTCCTTGGGGATTGGAGCCTCTCTATGCATTCCCTCCAGTCCTACTGCTACACAGTTTCTTCAAGAAGCTGAGGAAGGCACATTCCAGGCTGATACCTATAGTCCCAGCATGCTTGAGACACCACTGGTTGTCAGACCTCCAGATTCTCTCGATACAGCCTTCAATGGCACTACCATTGTTCAGGCCTTACTATCACTGAACCATGACCAAAGTTCTCCACCCCAACCCTCACGATCACCACCTCACAGCAAGGGAGTTCAGTGGTTGAACCCAGGGGAAAGAGCCTGCTCTCAAGGAGTTCAAAACATTCTTATCAGTAGCAGAAAGGTTTCCACCAGGACAACTAATCTTGCAAACTGGAAGAGATTTTCCATCTGGCCACTAGATACTCTCTCTCCCCATCTAAAATGCAGGAATATCCACTGCAATTGAAGGAGTTGGGCATCTTCATGAGCTCAATAAAAGTTCATTTATCATCCAACTCAGCAATCCACTCTCCCATTTAAGAACATTTGGTTTTCTCACATTCCATGGTTGGGAGATTTCTGAAGGAACTAATGAGGATTTATCCTCCCATTCATGAACCCATCCCTCCCTTGGATCTTGTCATGGTATTTTTGCCACTGGTCTCCCCCTCTTTTTCTCTTATGTCTAAAAAGACAGCCTTCTTGGTAGTGACCATGTCAGAGTGGAAGAGCTACAGTATCTGATGGTGGGGCCTCCATACATGGTGTTTGGATAAAGATAAAATTTCTTTAAGACTTTACCTCCAAATTCCTAAGTAAAGTGGTATCTGACTTTCACCTTCTGATATTCTTTCCAAAGCCTCATAGCCATAAAGATGAAGAGAGACTCCACACATTAGATGTGCTATGAGCTCTCTCTTTCTATATTGACAGTACCAAACAAATTAGATCCTCACTGAGACTGATGTGCAGAAAGGATGGGAGATCAGCGTCTTCTGCACAGAGAATTTCAAACTGGATAGCTTTCTGCATCAGGACTTAGACTCAGACTTTAAGACCAGAAGGGCCATCATGATCATCTAGTCTGACCTCTTGCACGTCACAGACTGCAGAACCTCATGCCCCACTCTTGTAATAGCCCATAACCTCTGGCTGAGTTACTGAAGTCCTCAAGTTACAGAGACTCTGCCATTTACTTTAGTTCAAACCAACAAGTGACCCAGGCCCCACACTGCAAGCAAAGGCAAAAAATCCTCAGGTCTCGCCAATCTGACCTGGGGGGAGAAATTCCTTTTCAACCCCAAATATGGTGATTAGTTAAACCCTGAGCATGTGGGCAAGACCCACCAGCCAGATATTTGGTAAAGAATTCACTGTAGTAACTCAGAACCCTCCCCATCTAGTGTCCCATCTCCACTGGTTTGAAATATTTACTAATTGCAGTTGCAGATTGGCCATATGCCATTGTAGGCAACCTCCTCATACCATCCCCTGCATAAATGTATCAAGCTCAGTCTTGAAACAAATTGGGTTTTTTTGGTCCCCACTACTTCCTTTGGAAGGCTGTTCCAGAACTTCATTCCTCTGAGGGTTAGATACATTTGTCTAATATCAAGCCTAAACTTGTTGATGGCCAAAAACATCCGCTCAATGTGTAGCAGAAGTCAAAAAAGCGCATAGAATGTTAGGAACCATTAGAGAGACACGGTGGGTAAGGTGATATATTTCACTGGATTTCAAAGGACAGAATCAACTTGATTATTTTTATTGACTAATATAAATAAATCAGTCTCTGTCAGGGCTCCCTTTAAATAGTCTGCTGTGATTTTTTAAAATGTCCTGTAAAATTTGTTGCTGGCAAGTTTTTGCTCTATTGTTTGTTTAGAAGGCTATTTTCGGTGGGTCTGAGAGCAGCAACAGCAGCAATTAGGGGTCACCTGTAATGATGGTAGGTATCTCATGTTCATACGGAAATATGATTTTCAAGTTGTATCCCTTTCAGTGCCCCTTCCTAAGATGTCCTTTCTCTCCAATGACTCATCTCTGGATTCTCATTTCAATGCACCAGGTGATAGGATTATGAGTGAAAATGAGGAGCATGCCCACCAGGAAGGTCCTGAGTTCATGGAACCATGTGGCACATTATCTGGACTATCTCAAAAGAATATTTCCCAGAGTCCTGAGCAGAGCAAAGCCTGTGAGGGTCAGCACAAATCAGAAAGGCATCAGACAACTGCTCCAGAGAAGAGGCAAGGTAAATCAACTGCTTGTGAAAGAGGTTTCAGGAAACTGCCAGACATTGACCAGCTGGGAAACCCCACTATGGGGAGATCAACAATATGTGGTGACTGTGGGAAAAGCTTCAGGGTGAGCTCAAACTTCAGACAGCATCAGAGAATCCACACTGGAGAGAAACCCTTTGGATGTGCCGAGTGTGGGGAAAGCTTCCGGCAGCGCTCACACCTTATTCAGCATCAGACAAAGCACACGGGGGAGAGACCTTATGAATGTACCGAGTGTGGGAAAAGTTTCACTGTGAGCTCAAACCTTATTCGGCATCAGATAATCCACACTGGAGAGAAACCCTATAAATGTGCCGAATGCAGGAAGAGCTTTAGTGGGAACTCACAGCTTATCCAGCACCAGAGAATCCACACGGGTGAGAAACCCTATGAATGCGGTGACTGTGGGAAGAGCTTCAGTGTGAGCTCAGCCCTTACTCGTCATCAGCGAACCCACACTGGAGAGAAACCTTATGAATGCGCTGAGTGTGGGAAAAGCTTCAGTCAGAGCTCAGACCTTATGAAACATCAGAGAATTCACACAGGAGAGAGGCCCTACGAATGCACTGACTGTGGAAAGAGCTTCTGTGTGAGCTCTCATCTTATTCAGCATCAGAGAATCCACACAGGAGAGCGACCCTATGAGTGTGCCAATTGTGGAAAAAGCTTCAGTCAGAGCTCAGACCTTATGAAACATCAGAGGATCCATACAGGAGAGAGACCGTATGAATGTGCTGAGTGTGGAAAGAGCTTTAGCTGGAGCTCAGCACTTATCAAACATAGCAGAATCCACACAGGGGAGAGACCCTATGAATGCGAAGGGTGTGGGAAAAGCTTCAGTCAGAGCTCGCACCTTGTTCAGCATCAGAGAATCCACATGGGAGGGAATCCCTGAGAATGGGCTAAGGGTGGGGAAGGCTTCGTGTCAGATATCCTTCCCAACGGATAGAAGCCAAATGTGTTTCTTTGGGCCTGTAGGGCTCTGACCTGTTCATAGAGAATGAAAAGTGGATTGTTGAGGATGGAGTGTAGGTGGTTGAGTTAGACAAAGAGGAATGGTTAGTGCAGGGAGATGAGTCGTTTAGAGGAATGTGTGGTGGGAGCCAGAGGAGGAACCAGGAGATGCTGGAGGGGATGGATCATTTGGGAGGGAGGGAGACCTGTTAGTGTAATTAGGCAGAAGTCACTTTCATGGGGTATTAATAAATACATTTAGGAGAAAAGGTAAACTTGCCCATTTCTCTGAGCACGGGGTGGGCTTCAGACAAGTTATAGAAGGAATTTCACAGTCAAGTGGAGGCTTTATAGGGACTGCACGGCTTATTGCTGTGGGATGGAATGACACCTACTCCTGGCTCCTGTAGGGAGGGTCTTCTGCAGGTCAGAGTGGGGTGCAAAGATTCTTTCCCAGCTCTGCCACTTACTTGTTTTACAACCTCAGGTAACTCACTCCACTTCTCTGTGCCTTTGTTTCCCCATTTGTAAAACTGGGATAAGAATCACCCACCTCACATACTATTTAAAGTAGACTCACAGAGTCATAAGAATTGGGGCCACATTAAATTCTGCACAGAGAGGAATAGAATGGTCCCTGCCCAGAAGAATTTATATAGTCTAAGAAACTAGATTCTTTTTCTAGGATTCTCTTCTCTTTGTTTATAGGTGTTGGGGGGTTTTGAGACCTTTTTCATTTGTTATTTTAAAAACGTAGTTTGACCTCAGTCTTGTTACTTAGGTTTTCATATTTGGCGTACAGCAAAGCTACGCTAAGGTGATTAGACTCAAGCATAGGGAGTGACTGTAGAATGTACCACACATTTAAAGTTACACATCAAACCTCTTTTATATACAATTACACATTACATTACATTTACTATATGTTGCGTTACATGTTTTGAGATTGGCTTGGTTACTTTGTAGGAACCAATCCCTGTACAGCAGGGGTGGGCAAACTTTTTGGCCCGAGGGCCACATCTGGGTATAGAAATTGTATGGCGGGCCATGAATGCTTATGAAATTGGCGTTGGGATTTGGGAGGGGGTGAGGGCTCCAGGGTGGGGCCAGCAATGAAGAGTTCAAGGTGAGGGAAGGGCTGGGGCAGAGGGGTTTGGAGGGTGAGAGGGAGATCAGGGCTGGGGCAGGGGGTGGTGCACGAGGGCTCTGGCTGGAGTGCAGGCTCTGGGGTGGGGCTCAGGATAAGGGGTTTGGGATGCAGGAGGGTGCTCCAGGCTCAGATCAAGGGTTTTGGAGGGTGGTATGGGAATCAGGGCTGGGACAGGGGGTTGGGGCCTGGGGAGGCGGCTCAGAGATGCAGGCTTGGGACATCGCTTACCTCAAGCAGCTCCCTGAAGCAGCAGCGTGCCCCTCTCCGGCTCCTATGCTGAAGCGCAGCCAGGAGGTTTTACTGCGCACTGCCCTGTCCACAGGCGCTGCCCCTGCAGCTTCCATTGGCCATGGTTTCTGGCCAATGGGAGCTGTGGGGGCAGCGCTAGGGGTGGGGGCAGCATGCAGAACAGAGCCCCCTGGCTGCCCCTACGCATAGGAGCTGGAGGGATGACATGCCGTGGCCCCTGACCCTGCTCCCCGGCTGGAGTGGGGCAAGCCCCCGACCTTGCTCCCCAGCGGGAGCTCGAGGGCTGGATTAAAATGGCTGGTGGGACAGATGCGGCCCATGGGCCGTAGTTTGCCCACCCCTGCTGATCAGCATGCTTTGTGCATGCACTGTCTGTGTATGACTTACTCTTTACCTCATCTTATGTTTCAGGTTTATTTTATTCATTGTTATTTTGTCCATTGTAAATAGTTCCTTGAGTGTTCCTCCTTATTTCAGTTAGTATAGACATTTTGTTTCCAGCCTGCTAATCCACTTACCTCCTTAATCCTGTCTCCCAAGAAATGAGGCCTCACCCATGTCCAATTACTCATGTCAAGCCAGGTGTACATTCCTCTGCTTTTGTTTGTGTTTTATATATATTTTATTTTTTTGTATTTTGGGGAGGGGGGTTGTGCTTTCAAAAAAAAAGTTTATTAATTAGCAATATATTTTAAGATTATAGTAGTTGTAATTATTTGAATTATTATTAATATTAGTCTTAAAGTATAAACCAGGGAGTGCAAGCTTACTTTTTATATATAGCCTACCAGGGTGTAATTTTATATTATAAATTACTTGTTTTTCTTTCAAAGTATATTTTTGTAATGTTAACTTTTTGCTTTTATTTTAATTACACTTTAAAAAACTGGTAGGGGACATAATGTTTTTATTTATTACTACAGGAAATTTAGGTGTGAAGTAGCACATAAGTTAATGAATATAACATTTTGGGGGGGTTATATTGGAAGTGGTTTTCTTTAGCTATTACACAGGACTTTCCATTTTTAGTATAGATAGGTTTATTTTACTAATGTTTTAACATTTTTAACTGTACTGTGCATTTTGGAGGTAGATTTCTTTTTTAAAGTGAACCCACATGCTAGCAGTTTTGTGTGTGTGACATTACACTTGCATGTGTAAGTGTTTTTAGGGTCAAACAGCAGTACAATTTGGGGTGGGGGTTAGACTTTGCATTGTTTGAGGAGGGAAAACAAACTTTTTTTTTTACACTGTACGGATTGCAATGCTTTTACATTTAATTTTATGATATTGGACTCTTGTTTGTTTTTTTTATTTTGCACTAACTGATGTTACTTTTTTGTACAAAATTTTTAATTTTTTTGTGGTGATAAAAGAGGGCAAGTTTTTTGTTTTTTGTTTTGCTTTATATTACTTAAGGCTGTTTTTACTTTGTATAGCATCTATTTTTTAAATACTACAAGTGTTGTTATTAGAACATATTGACTTAATTTTATATTTTTAAAGTAATTATAACATTATTGAATGGTTCCCATGGGTGTTCCCCCTTATTTTAGCTAGTACAGACATTCTGTTTCCAGCCTGCTAATTCATTACCTCCCTAATCCTGTCTCCCAAAAAACAAGGCCTCACTAATGTCCAATTACTCATGTTAAGCCAGGCCTACCGTAAGGTAGGTCTCAGCTTCCTTATTACTAAGATTTTTCTTGGAGCTTTGAGATTGGGACTAGACTTCTTTTCCTTTTTCTCTAGGCTGAGGTGAACTTTCTGAAAATGTGGGCTTTAGAGAGCATCAGAGTTTAATTCTAGTTTCATAAAACAGTCTTTATCCTTTATTAAAATTCCTAATAAAAACTTGTTTTAAAAACTCCTTTGCGTCCTCCAGTTTCCTGGAAATGTTTTCAGTATCTGAGATGTTTGTGACAAATTCCCAAGGAGACAAATTTCCCCCTTACTCACTTATCTCTCCACAATCAGGAATAAGGGATATGTGTGCACTAAACAGCTTGCTCAGACCCTGGCTACTTGAAGGAAATTTCCACCAATGTAATGAAGGTACACGGATGCTAACCCCTGATGCAGACAAGCTGCATGGCACAAAGTGAGGCTTTGATTGGGTTGTTCAGTTTGGTAACACTAATGTAGGGATACATGTATGACTTTCCTTAATGTAGATAGGGCATTAGAGCTAGAATGGCTACTTCCCGAGAGCCTGGACGTATGAACTCTTCCAGCTGGGGCACAACTTGTCTCCTCCCTGGCAGCAGTATCTGCTCCTGTCTCCCCTCTGTTGATTCCATTTCTCTTTAGGAATTTAATTAACTGGTTTTATTTAAACAGAACAGCCAGAGCTCCTTTCAGAGGTTCTGGCCAGACTCCCTCCCAGGCTTCTGGTATTAATCAGCTGACCACCTCCTGTCCCAATTTTCTGGTACTTTTTGGAATACTCAGTTCCCTGGTGTGTTTCCCTGTTACTCCACTGGCCCATCTTCTGTGTCAAAGTTGCATCTTAGAGGTTCTGGCTATATAGATGGGACCACTGAATTTCAACACCTGGTCTCTGATTGCATATCAGTCTACTTGTCTTTGCGCAGGACAGCAAACAACTAACATCACTGGACAAAATATCTGACTCTTGTTTACAATCTAAAATTATTAGTTAAATCATCTTAGTCTGGTATTTTAGAATAGACTCATATATGTCATCTAAATAGGAGAGAAACAAAACCATTCTGACGAGGGAATTTCTCCAGGATCTCTTGAAGAGAAAGTGAGATTTCATTCCTGAACTAGATAAATGGGGTTGGAAGGACTGATGATGACAGAAAAATAATCCAAAGGAGCCTAGACAGAATGGACATTTGAGCAGGAAATTACAAAATGGGAATGAATTTCAGGGGAAATTTGAAATCTTAATGATGAATTGGAAGCACAGATAGTGGGAGGATGAAAACCAGAAAGCAGCAATGGGAGAAAGGGAGAGGATGGAGGGGGCAGCAATCTTGCTATATTTGTGTTATGATACAAGGATCATGTACACAAAGGCCTCATAGCATGAAACAAGGAAGGGAAACGAGGTACCCCTTTCTTCACCCTCATCAAGAGACAGGGAGGGGGCAGACAATAGCAGTGGGAGAGCTGGGGGTTGGGGAAGGAACTCACCGCAGGAGGAATGGCCTTTCTTCTTCTTCCTGAAATCAGTGCATGAGGGGAGGAGTTCCTGGGGCAGTCAGAGGTGGAAATTGTGGGGTAAGCAGGGTCTCTCCAGATGCTTAGCAGAGGGCCTATCTTTAACTGCTTGCCTTAATGGCATAGGAGGAGGAATGTTGCCCTGAATAAAGCACCATAGTCCTTGACATCCCCAGCACACATTATTTGCAGTGAGTGAGGAGAGGGATGGTCTGGAGGAGGTAAATGTAGCTTGAACCCATGCGGAAAGCCAGTGCCCAAGCTGGTACATTAATAAAATCACCTAGTGGTGAAGCAAGATGTGTGTGTGCTTCTCTGTGCTCATCTGACTCCAGCATGTTATCTTAC